CGCGGCGATCGCCGCCGCCAGCAGCGCCGGCGCACACGAGCCCAAGCTCGAAAGCGCCGTGCGCGCCGCGCGGCCGGCTGCGCCGCCGCCGCCGCCCATGAGAAGGGCGCGCCAGCATAACACTGCCCGTAGCGCGACGCCGGCCGCAGCGCCCGGCGTGGGCGCGGCGCGCCCAGGGAGCATGGCCAGGCCGAGCCTTGCGCTGGGGTCGTCCGTTCCCATCTCACGCACTGAATGGCACAGCCGCTCCTGCAGAAACGCGAGCACCTCCGGCGCTGCCAGCGCCCCCAGCGCGCACGGCGGCCCCGGCTGCGCCTCCGGCGCCGGCCGCACGCCGGCCCACACCGCTGCCGTCGTCGCGTCGCCGCGCGCGGCGGGCGGCGTCAGGCCCTCGCTGGCGAGCGGGGAGTCGCCGTAATCGGCGCCGGCGGCGGCGAACGCCGCCGCAGGGGCGCCCAAGATCGTCAGCGGCGCCAGCGCCGGCGCGCAGCCGCCCAGGTCGGCGGCACCTGCCGCGGCAGCGCCGGCCCGCTCCTCGTCCTCCCAATCTCCGGACGCAGAGTCCAAATCCGCGGGCCCGCCAGAGCGCGGCGGGCTGGCGGCGGACGCGTCGCCAGAGAGGAAGACCGCCAGCGCCAGCAGCCCTTCTGCAGCCTCCTCACACGCGCCGGCGTCGGCTGTGAGTGGGGCCACCGCGGCCTCCATGAGCGCGCCGCACGCAGCTGCCAGGAAGCCGCTGGCGGCGCAGCTGCCCGCCAGCTCCTCGCGCAGCTGCTTGTGCGCGCCGGCCCCCGAGGCGACCGCCGCAAACGGGCCCGAGAGCGCCGCCGCCGCGCGCACCGCCGCCGCTTTGGCGCCGGGGCCGTCGGCGCCGCCGGCGCATGTGACCTGGGTATCCTTGCATGCGCTTGCATGCATGCGCAGCGCGTCGATGTGGCGCGTGCATGCGGCCATGAACGGCAGCGACGCGAGCTGCAGCAAGACACCCAGCGGCTCGGCGCTCCGCGCGCAGGCGCGCAGCTTCGCGGCGCCAAGCAGCGACAGGCACGCGCAGGTGTCCCGGGTCACCACCTCAAACTGCGGCCACAAAGGGTGCTCCAATGACGGCGCCGACCCCGGCGCAGCGCCGCCCACGGGGCCGTCCCCCTCGCCCCCAGTGCTGTCGACCGCATTGTCAGCAGGCAGCGGCCACCGCGCGGCGCGCGGGTCTGCGGCGGCGAGCAGCTGCTGCAGTTGCTCTGGCAGGTTGACCTCCACCAGGCGGCGGCTTGTGTCGAGCGGCAGGCGCTGCAGCGCCTCGTCGCCGCCGGCGCTGCCGCTTAGCAGGATCTGCTTCAGGGCAGCCGCTGCCGCGGCGGCCC